CTGCAAGTGGCATTGTGAAAGGAGCGCTTTCCTGCCGACAAAGCTAATGCCGCTCATGGGGCTGGAAGTATTTTGTCTGCAAAAATGCCAACAAAATACCAACAGAGAGCGTTTACACTTGCTGACTTTTAGCAACAAGGCTGTGTCGACATACTCAGAAATCCCATTGAAATCATTTCACAGTGGATGAGCAAGTAATGCAAAATCAGGCCAAAGGGCAGCCCTGGATTGCCAATTGCCAAGACCCAATTATTCTGAATTTCTAATCCCCCCCCTTAACTAGAATTACTTTGGAGAAGAGCAGTAAAAGCCTATAGTTGCTCTATGGCAATAGAGTACTGAAGGAAATTGTTTGTAATAAGACAATAATGTCGAATAAGATTGTAAACTTTAGTCACTATCACATAAGTATTATAAACCACAAAATAATATATTTTCTTGTAGTAACCATAATGATATAGTCCTGAGCCTGCCACCCTCATTAATGCAAGTTATTCCTGCTGAATGTATAGGGGTGCCTACTCATGTATGAAACAATTGTGGAATAGGGTCCTATGTGTGTTGACTAAAAACTGCATGAGAAAACTTGGATGTGTAACACACAAGATCAAGAGAAGAAACCCTATTAGGTCATTTAGTTCAGTCCACCTCCAGGGCAGGAACTGACATAACAGTATATTTGCTTTGTCAAGTCTAAATAGTAGTAGTGCTACTACTCAAAAGTAGTACTAAGGAAAAGCCTGATTGTACATTACATACCTTCCAATACAATGGATTTGCATCTTAACAAAAATGTGACCCATCTTCATGTTGCTAGGATGAGTGACACCAGAGATAATCTATGTATTGCAGAAGTACTGGTTATACTATATGTTTCCAGAAGTATATTGTTTGGAAGACAACGGGTACAGCTTCCTTGTTTGAATTAGTTCCTCCTATTGCTGAACATCTCCCCCACCCTGTTGGACAAACTACCCATTGTGTGGTTGTCAGGTGAAATACACCAAGCTCTAGGAGGGGAAAATTCTGGCTTTAATCGCTTTTAGTAAGTCATTTAGCATTTTCAAAATAGTGAAAAACTTCAGAGGTGAAAACAGTTGCATTCTTTTCTAGGTTCTTCTAAATGGAGGATACAATATGCTTCTAAATGGAGGATAGGGGGCCCATCAATGGCTTTTAGCCAGGATGAGCAGGGATGCAAAACCACGCTCTGAGTGTCCATAGCTTCTGTTTGCCAGGAGCTGGGCATGGACAACAAACAGATGATTACCTGTTCTGTTCATTCCCTCTGAAGCACTTAGCACTGGCCATTGTTGGAAGATAGGATACAGGCTAGATGGATCATTGGTCTGACCCAATATGATCATTCTTGTATTCTAAATTGTAGTCATAAAGAACAGTTTGGCTTATCACCTCATATGGTCAGACCCAATAGAGGAGAATCTGAAAAACTTGAGAGTACTTATCATACTGCAGAAGGCTGTCAGCCCTTTTCAAAATCTGTCCTATAAAGTCAGCATTTAAATATTTTAGTACTATTATAAACTTCTGAGAATGCTATGAGACAAGAGACAATGCTATGAGAAAGGATTCCAATGGAAGTGAGGAGCCTCAATACCTTTGAAGATCAAGGCCTTGAAGCCAAATCCTGCAAGGCCCTGACCTCATCCCAAGAAATGCTAAGCAACCTCAATTCCCACTAAGTTCCAAGTTAGTACCAACAATAGTTTTGTTAGTGTATCTTACCGCCACAGTTGTTAACAGTGTTTCCCTTTGTCTGGGTTGGTCAACATAAATATTTTTAACAGTGCTGATCTAACCTGAATCAGCTCACCCACAGAAACATACTTGACATCTCATGTGTAGATGTTTTCAGATATAAGTGGCAAAATTCATAATGTTCATTCAAATAATAATTTATGTTTTGAATCTTAAAATGATGTCACACAGAGCCTATCAATCACAATTTTACATAAAAATATATTTAAGAGACATAGACTTAACTCAGTGGTGAGTCATTGGTACAACTTGTGTGTATGGTTTCTATGTAGAAATAATACCTTTCATGTAGATTATTTATCCATGGGAAAAACTGGTAAATAAATGCTTTAAACTAAATACAAAATAAGCAGTCTACTGCTATTAAAAGTTACCTCAAAACCTTAATTTTGTAGTTGATAAAATACATTACAACTTTAAGATAACGGTCCAATGAATCAAATCCAATTGTACAAAAGTAATGAAATTATTAAAAAATATTATTCTGTTAAATATCGCAACAACATAAAGTAAACAAGCTGCCATCTACACTGGAAAAAATAAGAATATTTCTCTTTCTACAAAACATTTAGAGAGTTTTCCCCTTTAATAATGAAGTTTAACCTACTAATATAATGATCCAGAAATGACATAAATAGGGTAAGAATTAAAATAAAATACGTTTGAAATTGAAAGACACTTTGAGGCACGTTCTAGACATTCATATTCCAAGATGCAGAAATAAAACATAGTTGTCCCTAGCTTTCTCTCTTCCGTCCACTAAGCACAGTTTGACAAACGTCTTTGTTGAGTATATTACACATACATTCCTCTGATGTTCAGCATATTTTGAAAAACCCCTGGACAGATTTTGCAAACATGATTTTGACATCTCTATGCTTGAATTTCTCACCCCTTCTATCCCATAAGATGCAGCAGTCAATGGATTATAAAAATATGGCACGGGAAGTGTCATCTCTTTCATAATTAAAATTTAATTATGTGCAAAATGCAGTAGCTGAGGAATGATACCACAAATGCTCTTCTTGTGTGACCCCTTCAGTCAGGTTATTACTCCTGTCTAGAAAGCCTGGACTTTCTCAGATGGAAAGCCAAGCCTGGGGGCCATGCTAGTTATTGGAGTAGCCTCAAATATGTTTGCCCATTGACCTTTAAAGTTGACTTGTTCAGGTCCATTAAAATGGGGGCAACCTGAACCCCAGGATTGCTATTCTTAGGCCCTTCTCTTTGGCCCAGCAGTTTTATTGCATTCAGTCTCCTACTTTCCTCTGTCCAGAAAACAGCAAACCTATCTCTGCAGTCTCAAATACAACTGCTAGTACTCGTTTAGAAACATGCTGGGAGGCCCATTACAGCCCCTCTAAATCCTAGCGCTATCGTCAGGCGTCCCTCGCCACCCTGACAAGCGAATTCTCAGTAAATCACTCCCACTGCGCAGGCAGCAACTTTGCCTGACAGCTGCTGCCTTTGGAGAAGCTCAGTGAGCAAACTGGACGCGGGGGACTTGTTCCGTTGCTCGCAGGAGTGAGTTAAAGCTCGCAACGCTCCTAACAATTAGCGCCTGGAAACCTTAAGAGGTTCCCCAACCACCGCGCATATTGAAGCCGAGACACTTTCTGCGGCTTAATTGTCTTAATAGTCAGCTTCTAATATCACATTGTTGGGGAAGTTTCTGATTCTAAGGGACACTAATTAGCTCTAAATGATGCTAACTAAATACCATCCCTACCGTTGCAAGGGCTTCTCTGGGACTTTTACAAGAGACAAGCATCCCGGTAATTTAAAATCACTTTGTTTTCTTCTCCCAGCTGTTAACCGTTTGGAAAAACACTGACCCGCAGGACAACCACGGGAGAACCTAGCCCCCCTCGTCCCCCGCCACCACCACTTCTTCCCTGTTCCTTCAGTGCCTTTGGCAGCGCACAACGAAAGCGAGCAGTTCAGCTTTTCTTCTCCCACACCACTCAGGCTTGGCTGCCCTTAAAGAAAATCCTCTCCTAACAACGTGTCAATGTTACACTCCTCCACAAAGGCAACTTCTATTAGAGGGGCTGGGAGCTTGGCTCCTAGACAGGGAGCTTTGTGGCCATGCAGAAACCAGGGAGAGAGGAACCATTTCCTGCATTAAAATGCAAGAGCCTGGCTCAGTGATTCATGCCTGTGCAGGGGGCAAATTCAACCCCTCTCAAATAGCTGGAGCCCGAGCTCCAATTCCCAGCCAGACGGCGGCTTTTCTCCTTATCTCTAGAGATTTCTCTGTTTTGCATTTCTCATTTGATAACTGTATTTTGACCTCACGTGTCTCCCTTTCCCTACATCTTCCAAACCGTGGTGTGCCCCTAGGATCTTCCTTAATAAATCAGCTTGCCCTTGCTCTGAACAGCAAGCATTGATGGGACCAGAACAGCAGGTATTAAAAAAGACGAAAAGAGAACTTAGACCCTAATTTTTATAATTAGGAGGCTGCTCTGATGATCGGATCCACAGCTTCCAGATCTTCTACACCCTCCCGCTTTTCCAAACTCAAGTGATTAAGATATCAGCCCCGTGTTATTAGCACACGTGCAAAGCCATCATCTCCCCTGGAGCTGGGGCCACCCACGTGTGTCTCTCTACTGACCAAGGGAGCACGTGGGTGACATTGCAGGGTGCAATATGTTTCCCTGAGCCACAAATTGGGGCAGGATTTGCTATTCGCTTGGTACTTGCGCAGTTCTGAGGTCAGACTCTGTTGGTGTTTAGGGTCCTGGCACTTAAATCGGGTTGCTCAGCAATTAAATCGGGTTGCCCGCATAGCTTTGGAAATCTCTTCCTTGGAAAGTCAAGGAGTAGCATCAAAAGGAATAATATTTTATTGCTGGGTGGTTGCAATAAAAAAGGGAGAACTGGCTCACAACGTGTCCGCATTATTATAAGTGAGAGCTGAGAACAGCGACAGCTTAAATCCCCATTGAAGTACAAGTTATCTCTTAGTAGGATTCAGAACTGTATGCTGGCGATGAGATTAAATTTAAAATATCCTCCCCCATGTAAGTGGTTTGAGGATGTGTCTACCATTCTCCCTAGCCCTTTCATGGGAGCGGGCTGAAGGTTAGCAGACCCCACAACTAGTGTGTAGTGCAAGTCAGTTAAGTTTAAGTATAAACGAGAGGCAAGAGCAGAACCCTAGATAGTGATTTGAGATTAAAATAGACCTTTGAGACCCCATTAGAAACACCTACCTTCTTTTGGCGGCCGTTTAGCTTCTTTGCTAAGGTTGCAGACCTGGGTAGTTTGCAGCTCCTGGGTCAGACACCCCTCCGTCTGCTCATTGAGGGGCAGCACCACATTGCTGAGCAACACCAGGGACTGGTCGTCTATTCCCCATTCTCCCAAATGCTGAGGGCAGGTACATTTTGTATACATGATCCCACAGGACTCGGTTCTCCCGTTCTCGGATTTCAGGCAGTTCTCTAGCCAAGTGCATAATACATGGCAACCAAACTGGCTTGGGCTCACCTTATTCAACACCAAAAACTCAAAGAAAGATTTTTGGTCTTCTTCCTTTTTGTGTAATCCTGGGAAATCGATGGGAAAAACCCGGCGTATCTGAATAAAATTTTTATCATATTGCAGAAATACAAAAGCATTCTTGGAATCGCAGAGCTGCATTATAGAATGGTTATTTTTTAAAAGATCCTTTATTTTTTCATGGGAAAAATGATCAAACTGATAAGCCAAAAGGGAAAAGTTGGAGCAGCTGAAGTCCTTTTTGGAAAATTTCAGGTAAATACTATATTTGGTCGGATCTGGATTTTCCAGCGTCCAAGTGCAGTTTGTAAAGTTTTTAGGAAACATTTCATTTAGAGAATACGATCCATAAATGACCCCCTTCACCAGCGTGGAACACCAGAAGTCTTGGGCAGCATTAAATCCAAACATAACCAGTAGATAGGTGGAAAATATATAAATCAGCAAATTACGAACAGCCTTCATCCTATGTCATTTGGCCTGTAGGAAATGAAATGAAATAAAAATGCAAGTAGAATTCTTCACACATTGAAAATCAAACTCCTTCCAATATTCCAGCCAGCTGTTTTCAAGATTCCAGTTAGAACCTTTCTCAAAAAGAAGGGCAAGTAATTTATTTTTTAACAGAAGGAAATTGTTTGATGCTGTGTGAACAGCGCCATCACGTGGCCATCACAACAGTCAAATTCCCTAAATTCAAATAAAAAAAAACAAAACAATATTTATTAGATTATTAAGTGGAATGCCCTCAGTTATCTAGCATGTATTTGGCGTGATCTGGAACTATCAAATTTAGATAAAAGCCAGAGACTTTCATCTGGTGGGCCAGAAGAAGGAGTATTTATTTATTTATTAAAAAGTAAATCAACAACCTGGGCACCGTTTATATATATCTGCACAGAATTTCACTAGACTAGATCAGAAAAGCTGGTAACAGCTGTTGTTACATATTATTTTTCCTGTTAAGTCTGAGAAGTAATTGTGATGAATTACAGCCATAATTTAAAAATGCACAAATTATTATTTTCTACAGATGGAACATTATCTCCCATATGTCTACATGCCTCTGCAGTGGCCACCTGGTATACAAAGGTCTCTGTAAAAAGAAAATCCGGAGAGGAAACACTGAGATTAATATGTGTTAATAAAATCTTGAAACTGTTATCCGGGAAAGAAGTATAGATGGTTAGATAGATGGAAATTGTGGTTGCCTGACATCGCCATTGAGACCAATCATTTTAAAGGCAATCATTTCAATGTGATATAACCTCTTGAAGTAGATAATGTGGATAAGTATATTAGTATTTATAACCAAGGGAGCTGTATAGAGAGCAATGCTATAGTAGGATCTGTGTAACTGACCGAACTGGGTCTCTAAGTTGCCCTTTATTAAGAATGTTTTGTACAGTATGGTTATCTACTGTATTTTGCAGATGTGCGCTTGAATGATGAAAGATAGATTACATTTTCTCTGCTAGTATCTCCAACTAAAGCTCTTTTATTGGCCCCCTCCGCGGAATCAGCCTTCGCATCTTCTGTTCTCTAATAGTGGCCTAGGACAATAAAGTGAACCTTTGGTTATATTTACCTCTGTTATCCAAAAAATAAAACTTGAATGTTTTCAGCTTTAACCTTTGAGAAGTTGCTTATCTCTTATCAATGAGTGTCTTTTCGCTTTCTGTTTACAAGTGTGAGCAGACAAAAGTGATGCCAAGTTAATTTAAAAAACTCTTTAGATTGCAGCCTCTTCCACTGTTGCTCTGTAAACAGAGATAGACATACAGACACATACACAGTTACTGAGTTTTGACGTGTGTCTTTGCCTAGCTTTCATCTCCCCCACCAAATGGCAAGGCATCTTTCGTCCCCCATTGCATAACACAGAACAAATCGGCGGATTAAATACCCTGTAAGAGATTTTTGTATTTCCCAGATTATAATTTAAACTCTAAATCTTGAGATGGGCAATGCAGCACCAACTCCAACCCTCTTTATAGCTGAGCTTTAAAACAAAATCAGAGCTGCCGCCGGATCTATCCAAACTATTGGATTTTCCCTTTTCCGAAAATGCATCTCACTGAGTAACAAATCCATCCTTCCGGGAATAAGGTGGAGAGAGCGTTTATCGTTTTTTAAAATAGAAATGTATAGGCAGTTCTGGAAATAATTTCCTCTCTACAAAATTTGCTGTAGCACTTTGCAGGCAATGCAGCCCTGCGCAGTATTATTCAGGATGGTGTAGGCGTTGAAAGCCAATGTGACAATAAGTGTCTAAATGAGGAATTCTACCCATGAAAAACGATTCATTTTATCATCTGGAGACCAAAGAGGGTTTTTTCCTAATTATTTTAAAAATAAAAGCCCGACTTTTCCTCTGTGCAATATTTGCAATAGAAAAATAAAGACGTCCGCAGTGCTAGGCTGTTTTCCATGAGGAAACCAAGTCTAATAGCCATCATTTTAGTTACGTTTGTTCATGTAAACCTATTGAAACAAAATACTACTTTAAATTATCGCTCTCTGCATGAATAGGCAGGATTTCATTTCTGTTTACAATAGTGCTAAACACAAAAGTGAAGCTGCTCAGGGGAAGAAGGATCAAGCACTCAGATTAAACAGATCTTTCTTTTCGGGGGAGGGGGGTGAGGTTAAAGAACGGCCCCCAAGGTTTAAGGTTGCCCGTTTTGGAAGAAATATCTTCTGCTGAAAAGCAAACAGGCGTCTAGTTTGGATAATCCCCAACTGATTTTCTAGGTGACACTGTAGTTTGGTCGAACATAGACGGCGCCATCACTCCACTTATTTTTTCCCCAACAGAAGACCCACTGACTTCCCTTATTTTAACTTCCTATTAAGCTAAGATCCCCCCTTCCCATAAAATTACCCCAGCCATGCACAAACCTCAGGTTTTCTTGGTCTCGCTGGAAATTACTCTCAGGGAAGCAGACCTGTCGCAAGCCAGACTTCTCTAACTTTTAAACGGCAGGGTACAACTAAATGCAGAGACAATTCTGCATGTGTAGTAGGCTCTCTTTATCGTTCAGCAACAGCCTGTCCTCCGCCTCCTTCGCCGCCGCCGCCGCCTCCTCCTCCCCGGAATCCCGAGCTAACAGCTCTACAGTCATAATCCCGGGAAATGGAAAATGGAAAATGCCCCTGGACACCCTTACCTTCCACTCCGATAGCTGTCAGGCTATTTCTCTAAAACACTAGCGCCACAGGCACGCGTCCCAACAACAGCGATGGAGCGATTCCCCTTCTGTCGGAAGCACCGTTTCCCATTTTCCCAGGCTCAGGTTCAAAACCAAGATTTAAAGGAGAGAAGAAGAAAGGGGGGAAAAAACAACAACAAAAAAACACAGGCACAGAGGAAACCCCAGCACCGCGCAAAGCTTTGGCTCCGGATCCACCAAATCCACCATGTGAAGGAAAAGAAAAAGCCCCAAACCAGAGAGACTGCAGGGGGGGGGGGGGGGAATGGACCTGGCTGAACAGCGAAGGTTTTTTTTTGTTTTGTTTTGTTTTGTTTTTTAACTTGAACCAAAGTCTAACCCAACAAACCGATCAGCGGAGATACCAGGCAAGCGATGAGCCGAGAGGAGACCTACAGGCTACTGCCGCCCTAACGCAGATGTGGTGGTGGGTTTTGGCTGTTGTTATTATTATGAATATACTTATTCCTCTTTTCTCCCTGCTCCTCCTCCCCCCTCAGGTACTGATGGACGGACAGCGGCCGGGGGGAAAAATCCTTGGCTGGTGATGCCGGCAAGCTGTTTGAATGCTGAGTGAGGAGGGAGTACAGCGGGAGAGCGATAGTAAAGCTCTCTCTGTGTGTGTGTGTTAGAAAGAGAGCAAGTCAGCGTGTGAGACAGAGAGTGTGTGTGTGTGTGCGTGTGTGCGCGCTCCCGTGTGCGCCTGTGCGCTCGGCTCCCGCCTCGGAGCCCCTCCGGTGGGGTGTGCGCGCCCTGCAGTCCCTCTCCAGCGCGGGGGGGGGGAGGGGACTGTGCGCGCCCCGCTCGCCTTCTCCGCCGTGTGTGTGTGTCCGCGCGCGCGCGCTGCGCGCCCCGCTCTCCCGCTCCAGCCCGGGCGCCGCCGGGCGCTCTGCGCTCCCCTCGCCTTCCTCACTGTGTGTGAGGCTCTCCTCTCGGCTCCAGCGCCCGGGCCCGCGGTGCGTTCTGCACGTCACGCTACTCAAAACCAAGCACGTCCGAAAAACGTTATTTTCTGCGGCTGAGAGGTTTTTCCAGCCTCACTTCCCACCGCGGGAGCTGGCTGCGACCGAGTGTGAGAGAAACGCACAGGCTGCGAGGGAGAAGTACATCCAGCACTTGATCTCCTTCCTCTTGTTCTTTCTTTTAAAGCATAACCTCACCCCCCCCCCCCTTCCGCCTCCCGGAGCTGTCAATGTGCCACCGCGATGCAGATTAAGTGATATAGCGCTGCAAGGAAAACACATCTCCTCGCTTTCAAACTGCCGCCTGCCTCTGACTGGAACAATAGCGATTTTCTCAGCGAGGCTGCAATTAACACCTTATTTGTTCCTCGCCAGAGATAGGGCGCCGGTTGGGATCACATTAAATCGCTCAGCGGGGCTCAGGGACGCTGGGAAGCGGCTATTCTCTGGGGATTTTTTTTTTTTTAAGTTCCATCTTAGCGCAGCTGGGTTGGCTGCGTTTCGTTGGCGATGCCCGAGGGCCGCGGTGGACTCTCCGCCTGCTGCCGCTTGGGGATGGCGGGTTGGAGGGGGTGGCTATGCAGTCAGATGGCCGAAGAGCCCCATCTTTAGCTGCCCCTTGCTCAGGCTGGAGTTTGTAAGGCAAGTGGCCAGATAGCACAAGGGCTCGAGGGGTGGGGGTCGGAATGGAGAATAATGGTGAGAACGGGGCTGTCTCCAGGTCACCCGAAGAAACACCTGCTTTGTTGGTGTAGCTCAGTAGAGTTGAGTAAGCTGTCTCCTTCTCTTGTTTCTCTCCCGTTCCCTGTTGGTGAGCTGGGTTATCCTTTGGCTAGTGCCCAGGGGTGTCAGTGAGAGAAAGGTGTCTTATATTCGACATCAGATACATGGTAAGATAATGGGGGCGGGGGGTACATTTAAATAAGTTTTAGTACCAATCCAGCCCCTAACTTGAATATTTGTTCTGTAACTATCACACACCATTTACATTCTGCAAAGGGAACAAAGCACTTCTCAACACGGTGTGGTCCAACTACATGTTACAATCCCACTCAGTTTGAAAGTTCATTTGAAAAATGCATGGTTTTAGACGTACTCTCCGCCCCCTCCCCCGCCCATGGAAGGAACATGAACAGAAGTTTAAACTTCTGGCCGCCATCCAAGCCAATCAGTTCTTAACGCAAACTGGATTTTTTTCACCTCACAAAAGACTTGAATTCAAATAATATAGAAGTATACATACATGAATACTTTATACCATTCTTGTAAAAACAATAAAGTGCAAGGTTTGCATGATCTACTCCTTTGTATTTATATTTTTATTATTTTTTTCCAAATACAGCAAATATACCAAAATAGCAGGTTCATCATCACACACAAAGTAAATAAAGATGGTAAGATAAAGGGAGGGGAGGGGAAGCAACATGTCTATTTTCAGGGTATACATTAATCATAGACCTCTAAAAAGTCAGCACAAATTGCTTTTAATTTTTTGGGCATTCCCCTTCTGCAGAATGCCAGTCATTAGTTACTGCGAGGTCAGCCATATCGCTGAGCCATGCATCAATATTTGGTGGGGATAGATTTTTCCATTTTTGCAAGATTAGCTTTTTAGTGACCAAAGCTGCATGTTGGAACCATGCAGCCCCGCTATCAAGTTATCGCCAGGTATCAGGAACATATCCAAGAATAAAAATTAAAGAGGGCTCCAAATTAGCATCCAATATCAAATTGGTCCTTTGACCCACCTCCTACCAGAAATTTTTGAATGATCTACTCCTATCAAATATAATACAAAGGAAATAAGGCTACTACTGGTTTAGAAATAACTATACTCCTTCACATACAGTTGCACTCCACATTGTCTGTGAATGATGACCATCACACTGTTCTGAAATTCTTCAGGAATAGCTTGGTTCACTGTCATGCTGACCAAAGCATAACAATCACAGAGGTGCATGTACAATACAAGCATCTTAAATTCATTTTTTCCCCTCATTTACATTAGATGTGGGACATGATAGGTCAGAAAAGCAAGCCACCCATAATGAACCAGTTCATTCTTTACACTGATTCCTGTGGCCTTTGCAAATAGCAGGTCCCTTGATTGTGAACAAAGTGAGGTGTATTTATATAACACTATTTATAAATATGGAGTGGATAAGCCATTAGTCTCTAGGAAACCCCTATATATTACAAGCCTTTAATTAATTTCCACAAAGAAGTCAGCTTTGAAAACCTCTGAGTGAATAATCAATAATGAACAACTGGTGAAGATTAAGGTCAAGTGAAGATATGGCTGAGCTGGAGAGAAAACTGTGAGGAAAGCTATTCCTTGATCTCCTGCATGTGACTCCAAGGTAAGGAAGAATGTTGCAGAAGTAACATCGAGGTTAACTTGAAGAACAGAAGTCTGGGATGGCAGAGCATAACATTAAGTAGACTCTTTCAGGATGTTCAGTATGGTCAGGCTTGGGTGATCCAGTTATTAATTGCTGGAACATATTCTAAAATATCACGTTGCACTCTTTGTTAATACATACTGTGACAAAGTTCCTGCTCTACCTTGCAAAAAGAAAAGGAGTACTTGTGGCACCTCAGCTCACGAAAGCTCATGCTCAAATAAATTGGTTAGTCTCTAAGGTGCCACAAGTACTCCTTTTCTTTTTGCGAATACAGACTAACACGGCTGTTACTCTGAAACCTGCTCTACCTTGGTGGGTCTTGCACTTATTGGCGGATTTGCTCACCTTGGAGCTTCACGGCAGCCCTCAGCTTGGCCGTTTTTCTGAACCCACAGTCCAGGTCGACTCCTTCTGTGTCTGACCAGGAGTTGGGAGGATTTGGGGGGAACCCGGGCCCGTCCTCTACTCCAGGCTCCAGCCCAGGACCCTGTGGAATGCAGCTGTCTAGAGTGCCTCCTGGAACAGCTGTGTGACAGCTACAACTCCCTGGGCTACTTCCCCATGGCTTCCTCCCAACACCTTCTTTATCCTCACCACAGGACCTTCCTCCTGGTGTCTGATAATGCTTGTACACCTCAGTCCTCCAACAGTCCGCGTTCTCACTCTCAGCTCCTAGTGCCTCTTGCTTCCAGCTCCTCACACGCACACCACAAACTGAAGTGAGCTCCTTTTAAAACCCAGGTGCCCTGATTAGCCTGCCTTAATTAATTCCAGCAGCTTCTTGATTAGAACACCTGCAGCCAATCAGCCTGTCTGTCTTAATTATCTCCAGAAGGTTCCTGATGGTTCTCGAACCTTCCCTGTTCCCTCACTTGCTCCTTAGCTATCTGCTTTCTATTCTTTCCTAAAGCCCCCTGGCCTGGATTTTTCTTACTTTTTGAGCCTGCCTTAGTCTCCCCCCCAACCGGGCCAGACGCCTTTTTGTTTTGTTTCGTCTTTCTGCCGTTTTTTTTTTGCTGCCGCTGAGTGCTGGTCAGCTGCCAACTTGCCGCCAGCACCCCCCCACACGCCTGCTCCCGGGCGCAGCTAGTTGCCTCAGATGAAATCCCCGGAGGAGGGGGGAAGATTGCCGACCCGCTATCCGGAGAGGGGAGTGGAAGCCCCCAGACCCAGCCGTTTTGCTGTCAGCTTATTTCTGCAATTTTTTGCGGCCTGCCGAAAGCCTTGGAACACAGCCAACACAGCTGGAGAAGAAGAAGATAGCAGACAGAAGAAATCACCCAGGGAAGCTACAAATCATCGTGGAGGGGGCCGTAAGACTGAGTAATTTTTTGAATTATACTCTCGTGGGGGGGAGTCTGACTGTGGCTTAATTGCGTTTGTGGTGGCACAGGGGGTGTGGCACGGAGCTGCCCCCCGATCCATCGGTGCCCCCCCAACATTATTACAACTGTCACGGCCCCCCCACCATCCGTCCCTGCTGGCAACCTGCCGTCTGCCTCAGATCCAGCTGTTTGCTTTGAACTCTGCCTTTCGGACCGGACATAACAGCCGACCAAACGAGACTCTTTGGACAAATGTGCATGGGTCCACACACACCCCCCGGACTGTTTATCCCACAGCTTGCCCCTATCACTGGACCCCGATTCCTGTTTCCCCCCCCCCCTTCCAGTCCAACCCATTTGGTAACATCCCCCCGCCACCTGCAGCCCAGCAGAGAGGAGCGGTTAATCTGCTTCCCCCTGCCCCCTCCTCCTTCCGGTGTCTCCCAGTCTCTCCCTGCTCACAATGGCGGGGAATGAGAGGGGCAAGGCCCCTTTACCAATATCAGTTGTTCCTCCCCCACCCCCTCCACCCAACCTCCGAGCCCCCCCACCCACCACCACTGTCAAAATACCTGCCACCACCCCCGCTGGGGCACCGGCAGCAGGAGGCACTGGGGCGATTACTGCCACTGCTACGTCCACCGCCCCCCCCAGATTCTGGGAACCCCCCCCAGCTGGCCGAAAAGGCCAGGGCGGGAAGAAAGGAAAGGGCCCCGCTAAAACCACCAGGCCCTCCATGGCAGGGGTTGCCACCACCGCTGTGGCCCCGTCATCGACTGCGGCGTCCCCCCCCGCTGGTCCCTCCACCAGCTCTGCGAACGTCCCTCCCCCGGCCCCCAGGACGTATGCCCGGGCGATGGCAGGCTCCCCCCTGCCTGCCGCCTCGTCATCTTGCCCACCCACTGCCCCCGCTACCATCACCAGCGGCCGGGGCCCCTTCCCCACCTTGACCAGGAGGCACAGTGTCCGTTGCCTCCTCGTACCCACCTCACCCCATGTGGAGACATACGTGCAGGCACTGGTGAAGGTGGTAGGACCCACGGCTATTGTGGCGGCCTCCAA